GAAATCAATCTACTATCCCTTTCAATGAATTTCATTTAGAAACTAGTCTGTTCACTCTGTCTTTTAAGCACTTTAGATGGATTTCAGTGCATCTTCTGAATAATAGAATAATAGTACAGGTTGATGTTCAGCCTGAGACAGTATCTGACCTGAATGGAATTTCTGTTAAAATTAAGGTTGGAGCACTTTAAATTATTCTAAAACATTTGGTGTTGGTTTTGTTCCTTGCTTGCATACATTTTTTTCCGAGAGACAAACAAAATGTCGATTAATTATTTTGTCCAGTCCAGGGTGGATGAACAGGAAATACCCGGTAAAAGAAATACACTGGAACTTTGAATTCTTGTTCAGTGTCCCTAATTTAACTTAAGTGCTTGTTCCTAGTATTTCCTATTGGCTTGGTTATAGACGTCAGATCTAGCAAATAGAAAGGGTGATAGGAAAGGACATGGACCTGTTGGAGCAAGTCCAGAAGAGGCCACAAAGATGATGAGGGAGCTGGAGCACCTCCCTGATGAGGACAGGCAGAGAGAGTTGGGGCTGTTCAACTGGAGAAGGGAGGGTTCTGGAGTGACCTTATAGTGGCCTTCAGGACTTGAAGGAGCTACAGGAATGAAGAGAAGGGACTCTTTATCAGAGATTGCTTTGACAGGACAAGGAGTAATGGTTTCAAACTGAAAGAGAGTAGATTTAGATTAGATATTAAGAAGAAATTAATTTGTGTGAGGGTGGAACTGGCAGACGTTGCCCAGAGAAGCTGTGGCTGTCCGCTCCCTGGAAATGTTCAAGGCCAGGTTGAACAGGGCTTTGAGCAACCTGATCTAGTGGGAGGTGTCCTTGCCCATTGCAGAAGGGTTGGAACTAGATGACCTTTAAGGTTCCTTATAACTCCACACCATTCTGTGTAACCTATGAAATAGAAGCATAAATGGTAGATTTGCTTTTTGTTTTAAAAGCTGTACCAGACGTAAGTGACATCTCAGGCCCACAGTGACTGCACTGCTTATTCTGTAGAGTCCTAACTCTGGTCTGTTAAGAAGCATTCTCTCTACTATATATGAGTACAGCTTACACAAAATTTTATAGGAGTTTTTCTCTCTCAAAATTGTCAAATGTAAGTTCATAAAGATAATAATTACAATCTGGTTTGTGCTCGGTTCCTATTTTAGTAATTTGGGGACAATAATGTCAGGGACTATCACCTTTTCATATTGTTAGGGGTAGCAAAAGATAGTGTTGATGTATGTAGTAAACATTGTACTATTACTATGTTGTATCATGGGAGAAACGCAGAATCTGTTCATAGTAGTCTTAAAGACACACTTAAGACACACTTAAACAATTTCATGCAGAAGTTCATAGTCTGTTGTGTATCCTCAGATTATCATAGGTGGAACTCTTCTGAAGTCAGTCCAGGTCATGGTTGCTATTTCCTGTTATTTAAGAGAGATGAGTTTTCACATGTGTAAAATAATATATGAGTAATAAATCGATAGGCCAGCAGTTTTGTGTTATCTTTTCTCTGTTGCGCTGTAAATGTACATGGCATATGGCATCTAGTTAGTGCCTTAGCATATTAAATATTCCTGTAGATTTTTTGGCTGATGAACGTCACAGGCACTCTGTTGACCTCTCTGTGGGCTGCTTCAGTTCAGCCCTGCTACCTGAGATTAAATCTTACTGCTTTTGTTAAACCAAATCTTGCACTGCAGAAGAGAGAAGCAAGTGACTGGATAAATATCTAGAACATAGATTTCCAGCTGTGGTAATAATTTTAGAAAGTTATTGCTTAAGGCCAAAAATGTTTGGTTTATTTTGGTGTTAATGCTGTCTTTTCTTATTAACAGGTTAAACAGCAGTGACACTGATGGTGAGCCTATGTATATTCAGATGGTAACAGCACTAGTTCTGCAGCTTATTCAATGTGTGGTGCACCTACCATCAGCAGAAAAAGATTCTAATTCAGAGGAGGAATCAAACAAGAAAGTAAGATATTTTTGAAAGCTGTAATTTTTTTTAATGCAACTATCGTTTTGTGTTTCTGTGGATATAATATTTTGCTATGGTATTCTAAAAAGCAGACATTGTAATTTTTTTTTAGTTTAATTATTTGATGCATGAGAAATGCTGGTATGGAAACCCTATTTTTGTGTGTGGTAAAATAATAAACAAATATATCTTGTTATTTTTAGGTGGATCAAGATGTGCTTATTACTAACTCATATGAAACAGCCATGAGAACAGCACAAAATTTCCTTTCTATTTTCCTTAAGAAGTAAGTACTGTTGCATCCATTAGTGTATTGATGAAACCAATTCCAGATAAGGTCTGTCATACCGTAAGACAAACTTCGCAATGATAAATACTTACTCATTAAATTATCTCTTGGTAGTTCATCTAGGATCCTTTTATGAGGATCTTGTTACTCATCTGGAGCCTAAAAGATAAGACTGAGTAAATATTTAAGCAGTGAAACCATATCAATTCAGTCTTCAGAATGGCAAAGATATAAAAACCATAAAAATTACTGATTTTAACCTTTGTGGAGTGTAATACTGCTGTCAGATACATCAGACCAGGCTTAAGCATCACAACACCTCCTAAATACCCCAGTCTGGCTTGAGCTTTACAATTTTACCTACTTTGTCCATCTGAGTTAATGCAGACTTTAAACTCAAAGCAATAAACAAAAAAATCTTAGGAACAATATTCTACTGGCATGGATTAACTGCTTTACTTGCAGTGCAAGTTGAAGTGATAACTGTTTAAACTATATCTCTGTAAATGAATTCTCTTATATTCACTTACAAAATGCATTTTCTTTTCAACAGATGTGGCAGCAAACAAGGAGAAGAAGATTACAGGCCACTTTTTGAGAACTTCATTCAAGATCTTCTTTCCACAGTCAATAAACCGGAGTGGCCAGCTGCGGAGTTACTACTTAGCTTATTAGGAAGGCTATTGGTAAGGGATTCTTGGTTTTAACTACTATATTAATTTATTTCTTATTGCAATGAGAACTTGTTTATTTCAGCTGAAACTACTAAAGGAATGTGTATCACTACTAGATAATACGTAGTTAATAACATTTGGGTTAGAGGATCATCGATATGGAACTCACTCAAGGTCATATGTATACAGTTGTCATGGAAGTCCACATCCACTGTACCATGATATTTTGAACACGAAAAAATGCCATTGTATAGCATGTAGTAAGTGTAGATACTGATATGGAGTAAAGTCAAACCAATAGCTGTAATTTTCCACTGTTCTTTTAGCACAGAACAATTAAGTGGTTTGGGGTTTTGGCCAGTAATAGCATTTGCTTATAGTATTTTCAAAAATCTGAATATTTTCATTGACTTGTTTTTTGAGAGTTGCTCTTCAGTATTACAATGTAATTAACACAGTAAGTCAATGTATTTCTTGTAAAAATACTGTACGGTCCTGTTCCTGGTAAAACATAGTTTTACTTGTGTGAATAACAAGGAAGTTGCGTTATTGTGCTGGAGATCTCTGCTGTTGCAAATGATACCTGCTGTACTGGAAGTCCGGTTTATTGAGTGCACCCTCGGCAAGTTTGCCGATGACACAAAGCTGTAATTCTCACCCTCTGCTCTTGTGAGACCCCACCTGCAATTCTGCGTCCTGCTCTGGGGCCCTCAGTATGAGAAAGACGTGGACTTGCTTTGCAGATGACATGAAGTTAGTTGGGTGTGTTGATCTGGTGGAGGGTAGGGAGGCTCTACAGAGGGATCTAGACAAGTTAAATCAGAGTCCTGAGGTGAACTGCATGAGGTTCAACAAGGCCAAGTGCCAGGTCCTGCACTTGGGTCATAACAGCCTCAGGGAAGTCTACAGACTTGAGGATGTTTGGTTGGAGGACTGCACATCAGAAATGGACCTGGGGGTCTTGGTTGATAGGCAGCTGAATATGAGCCAGCAGTGTGCCCAAGTGGCCAAGAAGGCCAATGGCATCGTGACCTGTATTAGAAATACTGTGGCCAGCAGGACCAGGGAAGAGATGGTCACCTTATTCTCAGCAATGGTGAGGCTGCAGCTTAAGTACTGTGTTAAGTTCTGGGCTGCTCACTACAAGAAGGACATTGAGGGACTGGAGCATGCCCAGAAAAGGTCGACAAGGCTGGTGAAGGGTCTAGAACATAAGTTCTGTGAGGAGCAGCTGAAGTAGATGGGCTTGTTTAGCCTGGAGAAAAGGAGGCTGAGAGGAGACCTTATGGCTCTCTACAACTGCCTGAAAGCGGGTTAGAGAGAGGAGCGATCAGCCTTTTCTCCCTAGTAGCATGTGATAGGACTAGAGGAAGTGGTTGCAAGTTGTACCAGGGGAGGTTTAGGCTGAATATTAGGAATAAGTTCATCACTGAAAGGGTCATTGGGCACTGGAACAGGCTACCCCAGGGCAGTGGTGGAATCATCATCCCTGGAGGTGTTTAGACAACGTGTTCATCTGGTGCTTAGGGACATGGTTTAGTGGTGACCTGGCAGTGCTAGGTTAATGGTTGGATGATGACCTTAAAGTTCTCTTCCAAATAAAGAGATTCTGTGATTCTGGATTGTAGTGAAAGGGTAAACTGTTTCAAACTGAAAGAAGGGAGTTTAGATTAGATGTGAGGAAGAAATCCTTTTCCTTGGGGGCAGTGAGGCACTGTCACAGGTTGCCCAGAGAAGTTGTGGAAGCACCTTCCCTAGAAGTGTTCAAGGCCGGATTGGATGGAGTTTTGAGCAACCTGGTTCAGTGGGAGGTGTCCCTGGCCATGGCAGGGGGGTTGGAACTAGATGGTCTTCAAGGTTCTTTACAATCCAAGCCATTCTATGATTATGTTTTTAAAAAATCTCTAACAAGCATATTTGCGGTGTGGGAGGCGGAGAGAGAAAGACACCCAGTAAAGGAAGAAACTTTAATGTAAAGAAAGTCGTGTATCTGTGATGTAATAGTAAATTACATCATTTTATGAAGCAGGGAAGTTAGGTGAAATTTTTAATAAGGTCAAGCAGTGTCTTGTGGGAGGAATCTTGGTTGCATAAATAAATATCTGGTTTTAACAATTTATTGTATTTTTCTTAGGTTCACCAGTTCAGTAACAAATCTACAGAAATGGCATTAAGAGTTGCATCACTTGACTATCTTGGAACTGTAGCTGCAAGACTGAGGAAAGATGCAGTCACTAGCAAAATGGATCAAGGATCTATAGCCAGAATACTCAAACAGGTGTGTGAGAGATGTTGGGCCAGGTGGGCTGAGATGTATCCACTCAAATACTTGAAAATGTTAAAGATGGTTGGAAGACTGGCACTGTGGAGAAATAGTCTTCGTTGTTCAGATTTCTGAATCAAATATACTCAATTTATATGTATCACGTTTGTTAGCTCATGTCTTCCTGTGACCTTCATGTGACCTGAATTTTTCTGTTGTTTTGGAGTTTTTACAGATCAGGCAGTAACGAGGCATTGGCATCTGTAAAAAATAAAATTGCTGTGAGCAATGGAGTGCTGAAAGCGAGGGTGTTTTTTATTGCTCAGGAAGCTTAACATCAGTGGTGGTAGACAGTGCAATCCTTACGTTGTGGAAGCTGTGTACATCAGTCAGGGTAACCAGTGTGTCATTTATAAATTACTTGTTACATAAGATCAAATAAATATTTGGAAATGTTTATATGACAGCTAAGCTTCACTTTCATGTTCAAATGGCAAGAAAATAAGATCTGTTGACAGACATAATCAGCTGTCTTCATCAGAAACTGAAATTACTGTTTCTCTTGAGAACTTACACCGCTACAGGT